TATCCCTTGCCTTCTGCAAGATAATGCAGCAGTTCACAACTCACTTGTTGCCCAAATGAAAGAAGCATGCTCCTGTGGCGTTGAAATTCTACCGCATCCCCCTTTTTCATCCGACTTCGCACCATCGGACTTCCACCTCTTTCCAACAAGGAAGTTATTTTTGAAGGGCAAGCATTTCTCAGATGATGAGACTCTGATTTCCGATGTCACAGCATGGCTTTTGGAGCAACATGTTGACGTCTACAAGCAAGGTGTTGACAGTTGCTTAAAAAGATGGGAGAAGTGTGTGTCCCTAGGTGGCACCAATGGAGAGGACTCAGAACTGGGCTAAGTTCACTGCTCTCAATACACAGGAAGTGGGTTGGGGAAATCTTTAATGAAAGCCAGAACTCACTAAAATGCTAATGTACTAGGGGCGTACATTAGAATTTTAGTGAGTTCTGGCTTTCATGAGAAGAAATGTCATCACTTGCAATCTGATTGATATCGCCCTCTAGTGACCGTCACTAGACACTACAAACCAAATGATAGACTAGGTGAAGAGTTCCTACTAGCAATGAATGGAGGACTGTGTCTGCATTCATGGGTTTTCTTCTCCCGCCAGTTGTTCAAAGCAGGAGTCCAAAGTTCAAAAGGGGAAAAGGCCTTTGCCTTATCTGTGTATTGTATGTCACTGTTTGTGTAAAAAGGCATTGAATGCTTGCCTTTTATGTGTACTTTAATCCACTCTGAGTTCCTCCTGAGAGGTAAAGTGGAATATGCTGGACGGGGTTACACTCCCCCTGAAATCACAGGTCCGCAGTATGGGTGTCCTCTTGGATTCATCACTTACGCTTGAGGCTCAGGCGTTGGCGGTGTCTGGGAGGGCTTTTGCACAATTGAAACTCGTGCGCCAGCTGCGACCTTACCTCGTAAAGGCTGATCTGGCCGAGGTGGTCCATGCCTTGGTCACCTCTAGATTGGACTACTGTAATGCGCTCTACATGGGGCTTCCCTTGAAAACGGCTCGGAAATTTCAGCTAATTCAGCGGGCGGCGGCCAGGATGTTAACTGGTGCTCCTTACAGAGAGAGGTCAACCCTCCTGTTCAAGGAGCTCCATTGGCTGCTGTTCATTTTCCGGTCCCAATTCAAGGTGCAGGTGCTCACCTACAAAGCCCTAAACGGTTTGGGACCTGCCTACCTGTGTGACCGCATCTCCGTTTACAAACCCGCATGCTCTCTTCGATCATCTGGAGAGGCTCTGCTCTCGATCCCACCTGCGTCGCAGGCGCGTTTGGTGGGGACGAGGGACAGGGCCTTCTCTGTGGTAGCCCCCCGACTCTGGAACTCTCTCCCCAAGGACATCAGACAAGCCCCAACACTGGCTGTCTTTAGGAAGCGCCTGAAGACCTGGCTGTTCCAGTGTGCCTTTCCAGAATAGGAAACTCCTGGCTTCAAGTCCCAAATGCATTTTGCTAGAGATTCAGGATTATTGCAGAAAATTGCAACAGCAAAACAGCAGAGAGGAAACAACCAGGCACATCTTAACGCCTCTCAACAGAACATTTTCCCAGACTCAGTCAGGCCTTCAAATGCTAATGAAGACCTCACTACCTCTGAGGATGCTTGCCATAAGATGCAGGCGAAACGACAGGAGAAATGCCTCTAGAACATGGCCCTATAGCCCAAAAAAACCTACAAGAACCTAGATTCAGGATTATCTGCACATTGCACCTACCTCCAAATATGTCTACATATTACCTGTCAAGTTCAGCACTTTTTAAATTTGTCCATTACATTTGACCCGGCCTTTGGTTTTGACTGTGTCACGGTGTCGTTTTACTGTTTTTTGTTTTGCTTGATGTTTTATTTATGAGTTTACTGTGTATGGTATGTTGTTGTTGTCGGTGGCCTTGGCCTTTGTAAGCCGCATCGAGTCCTTCGGGAGATTTTGCGGGGTATAAATAAAGATAATAATATAAATAAAGTGTAATATTTGATACATTGTTTGTATTGTTTATTTATGTATTGATTTAGCACTATGTAATTTTATTTTTATGTGCGGCACCTTGAGTGTCTTTGTGAGCCGCCACGAGTCCCTTTGGGGAGATGGGGTGGAGTACAAATAAATATTTTATTATTATTATATTATAGTATTATAGTAGTATTATTATTATAACAAGAGAGTGTGCCGATCACCACTGGGACCACCTTTACCGGCTTGTGCCAGAGTCTTTGCAGGTCGATCTTTAAATCCTCATATCGTGTCAGCTTTTCCAGTTGTTTCTCTGCAATCCTGCTGTCACCTGGGACTGCAACATTGACAATCCATACTTTTTTCCCCCACAGTTGTGAGGTCAGGAGTACTGTGCTCCAAAACTCTGCAGGTCTGAATTAGGAAGTCCCACAGTAGTTTGACATGTTCATTTTCCATAACTTTTTCAGACTTGTGATCCCACGTTTTTTGTCATAGGCAGATGGTATTTGTGGCACAAGCTCCAATGGAACATCTGAGCACCGTGTTATGTCGTGTATTATTATTATTATTATTATTATTATTATTATTATTATTATTATTATTATCATTAGAAACACAACAAGATCAGTCCACAGCACTCCGCTGGCTGTTGAATTGGATCACACGTCGGACACTTCCCAAGTGTCTAGGACTGTGTCATGTATAGGCGAATAATGCGTGCAGATCCCAGTAAGGTGGTCTTCTGCAGTTGGCAGATGGTAATTTTGTCCGCGCTGATTGTGTTTAAGTGCAGGCCAAGGTCTTTAGGCACTGCACCCAATGTGCCGATCACCACTGGGACCACCTTTACTGGTTTGTGCCAGAGTCTTTACAGTTCGATTTCTAAATCCTCATATTGTGTCAGCTTTTCCAGTTGTTTCTCTGCAATCCTGCTGTCATCTGGGATTGCAATTTCGACAATCCATACTTTGTTTTTTAACACGATTGTGAGGTCAGGAGTATTATGCTCCAAAACTCTGTCTCTCTGAATCCGGAAGTCCCAGAGGAGTTTGGCGTGTTCATTCTCTGTAACTTTTTCTGGCTTGTGATCCCACCAGTTCTTTGTCGCAGGTACATGGTATTTGTGACACAAGTTCCAATGAATCATCTGAGCAACTGTGTTGTGCTTCTGCTTGTAGTCTGTCTGTACGATTTTCTTGCAGCAGCTGAGGATGGGATCTATTGTTTCATCTGCTCCTTGCAGTCTACATTTGGGATCTTTTGTCAACTTTTCAAATATTATTAAAGGTAAAGGTTTCCCCTTGATAATAAGTCTAGTTGTGTCCGACTGGAGGTTGGTGCTCATCCCCATTTTTAAGCCAAAGAGCCAGTGTTGTCCATAGACACCTCCAAGCTCATGTGGCCAGCATGACTGCATGGAGTGCAGTTACCTATTGATCTACTCACAACTGCATGTTTTCAAACTTGCTAGGTTGGCAGAAGCTGGAGCTAACAGCGGGAGCTCACCCCACTCCCTGGATTCAAACTGCCAACCTTTCTGTCAGCAAGTTCAGCAGCTCAGTGGTTTAACCCACTGCGCTAACCAGGGGGCATTTAGCAAATACCTGCCATAAATATTGTGCATATTGAATTCTGGATCAGAAATAATCTCAGCAAAAGGTTCACTAAAAAATGCCTCTGGTTTGTGAAGCTTCTTGCTCTTCCTACATACCTGCTCAGACCCTTGGCATTTGTCCTGTGGGGCCCCACAGGGCTCAGTATTATCCCCCATGTTGTTTAACATCTACATGAAGCCCCTGGGAGAAATCATCCAGAGTTTTGGAGTTCAATGTCATATGTATGCAGATGATGTTCAGCTCTATTGCTCCTTTCCACCTGCTACTAAGGAAGCTGTTCTTGTTCTGAACCTGTGCTTGGCAGCTGAGATGGCCTGGATGAGGCTGAACAAATTAAAATTGAATCCAGAAAAGACAGAGGTCCTCCTGGTCAGTCAAAAGGCCAAACAGGGTATAGGGTTAGAGCCTGAGTTGAATGGGTCACACTGCCCCTGAAGACTCAGTTTCGCAGCTTGGAAGCTCTCCTGGACTCATTGCTGAGCCTGGAACCTCAGGTCTTGGCAGTAGCCAGGAGAGCATTCGCACAATTCAAACTTGTGTGCCAGCTGCGCCCGTACCTTGGGAAGTCAGACTTGGCCATGGTAGTCCACACTCTGATTACATCCCGAATAGACTACTGCAACGCGCTCTATGTGGGGTTCCCTTTGAACACTGTTCAGAAGCTTCAAATAGTCCAAAGGACAGCAGCAAGTTGATCACTGGAATAGTGTACAGGGAGTATACAACCCCCCTGCTGTGTTAGCTCAACTGGCTGTCAGTCTGCTACTGAGCACAATTCAAAGTGCCTATAAAGCCCTAAACGGTTCCAGCCAAGTTTACCTGTCCGAACAGATCTCCTCCTATGAGGAGAGGAGATTAAGATTGTCAGGGGAGGCCCTGCTCTCAGTCCCGCCACCTTCGCAGGTACGTCTGGTGGGAATAAGAGGCAGGGCCTTTTCAGTGGTGGCCCATTAGCTGTGTAACTCCCTCCCCAACGAAATTACAGCAGTTCCCTCCCACCTAGCCGTCAGAAGGAAAGTGAAAATCTGGCTCTGGGGTCAAACCTTTAGAGATTAGATACAGTGCAATAATAACAATGAAATATGATGCTTGGATGACGGCCCCAGATTACGATTGTGGATGGCGTGAATTTAATGTTACAATGTTATGTTTTAATGTGTATTTTAATTCTAATTATAAATTTTAACTTAAATATATTCAATTGTTTGGTGTCTAAAGGCATCAAATCGTTGCCACATGTAAAACCGCCTTGAGTCCCCTTTGGGGTAGAGAAATGCGGGATATAAATAGAGCAATTGAATAAATAAATAAAGATATGCAAGTCCTTTGATCGTAATGGTACCAAAGCAACATGTGTTTCTGCCACAAAAAACGTGGAGGCAGTCCTGCCTGCTTGGGAGGAGGTAAGATAAAATAGCCAAGATCCTTTAAATTTAGAAATTTATTTTGTTTAATCCACAAGCTTTATAATAGCTTTAAGTTCTTTTAAAAAAACAAAAACCCAGTGAGAACATGACAATATCCAAAGTTCAGGTCCTGAAGCTCTCAGAGATCCACACTCTGAAAGGTAACGCACTATTCCAAAGGACCACAACAAGACCAAGAAAAGAAAAGAAAAACCCTATGAGTGGGGCAACAACAACATTTCACAAACAAAAATGTATGCCAAATTCTGCTGATCACGGGAACTGCCTTCTGAAAAAACCAAACAAAATGGGAAAGGACAGGTGAAAGACGTAAGGGACAAAGGAAAATTCCAGTGTTCCAAAGAAATCCAAACAACCGCTCTGGCAAACAACAGGCCAAGATGTCGGTAACTTCTTCAAATGTTAATTCCAATCATAAACCAAAAGATAATACAGGCAAACACAGAAAAACCTGGGCCTTTGCATGTTTTCCTATGTAATTTCTTTGACAGTTGTGTGTACAGACCATGTAAGGCCTAGAGGAAGAAACTAGAGCCAAATAACCATAAACATTTGCACTATGGTGTTTAGAGAAATTGCTGGGTCCGACAGCCTTGATGTAAAGCCCTTCGGGAAAGAAGGAAAGGGGAAGGGAGAGAAAAACCTTTACTGCTCAAGAAAATTCTAGTGAAACCATGTCAACTGTCATAAGAAATCACTAGGTATATGCCATGAATGCATTTTCTGCAATGAAGATCCATGCCCTTTTTAGAAAAAAACATGGTGAACTTCAACCTAGCAATTACAACCAATGTTAAAGTCTAAAGCTCAAACACATTTTAGCAATTTGAAATTGAAATCTTGAAGTACAAACCAAATACAATGTACACTTTTTATCAAAAGCTGCTTCAGCTTAAGATGGTGGAGACACCTGGGCCTTCCTCATCGACCTCAGAGCCTTCTCGCGCAGGTGCTTTTCCAAATCATCCAGGTTATCCTCTGCTTCGCTTTCAGTCTCCTGAATGCAATGGAAAGTGACCAATTACATTTAGAATCATAGTATAGGCAACATTATGTAGACAGACACAGAGCTTCTGCTAACTTGGCACACTACCCTGGCCTAACTATGTAAGACACTGTTTCTCAACCTGGGGGTCGGGACCCCTGAGGGGGTTGTGAGGGGGTGTCAGAGGGGTCACCAAAGACCATCAGAAAACACAGCATTTTCTGTTGGTCATGGGGGTTCTGTGTGGGAAGTTTAGCCCAATTCTATCACTGGTGGGATTCAGAATGCTCTTTGATTGGATCCTATTAAGGAAAAAGAAAATACTATCTCTAGAGCAATGTTTCTCAACCTTCCTAATGCCGTGACCCCTGAATACAGTCCCTCATGTTGTGGTGACCCCAAACCATAACACTGTTTTTGTTGCTACTTCATAACAGTCATTTTACTACTGTTATAAATCATAATGTAAATATCTGATATGCAGGATGCATTTTTATTCACTGGACCAAATTGGGCACAAATACCCAATGCACCCAAATGTGAATGCTAGTGGGGTTGGGGGAGGATTGATTTTGTAATTTGGGAGCTGTAGCTGCTGGGATTTATAGTTCACTTATAATCAAAGAGCATTCTGAACTCCACCGGTGATGGATTTGAACCAAACATGGCTCCCATGACCAATGGAAAACACTGGAAGGGTTTGATGGGCATTGACCTTGAGTTTGGGAGTTGTCGTCCACCCATATCCAGAGAGCACTGTGGACTCATGCAATGGTGGATCTGGACCAAACTTGGCATGAATACTCAATATGCCCAAATGGTGGAGTCTGAGAAAAATAGATCTTGACATTTGGGAGTTGTAGTTGTTGGGATTTATAGTTCATTACAATCAAAGAACATTCTGAACTCCACCAACGATAGAATTGCCTCAAACTTCCCACATGGAATCCCCATGACCATCAGAAAATACTGTGTTTTCTTATGATCTTTGGCGACCCCCTTAGGGGTCCCAACCTCCAGGTTGAGAAACACTGCTCTAGAGGGACAAGATTTATGGAAAAGTAAACCCAGAACAGAGAGAAGTTTTAACAACCACTTCATTAGGTCAGCTCTTATCAAGACTTGGAAAAAATACAATAGATTCCAGATAACCATAAAGGTGTTATCTCCCTGCTTCGTTGGGAGATAACACCTTTATGGTTATCTCCCAACGAAGCAGACCATATGAGGGAATTACCAAAAGAAAATTGGTTAACATACAAACAGTTATTAAAAATAGATAGACAAGAAGTGACACTAAAAACACATGAAGAAATAAAATTAATTGACCCATCAATTACGTGGCTTCAGTTCTGGAAAATCAAAGAAAGTTTTCATCTAGATAAAAAAGTTTTTGAGATAGAAGATAAATTTTTGGACAATATAATAAAAATTGTCGCAAAGTTAATTAAAAGGATATACCAGCAACTATTATCACGGGAAACCAAAGAAGAGCAAGTTAAGGAAGTAATGATAAAATGGGCAAAGGAGATAGGTCGACCAATAAAAATGATAAAATGGGAAGAAATTTGGAGGAAGAAAATTAAATATACATATTCAACAGGACTTAAAGAGAATTGGTTTAAGCCAGGGGTCCTCAAACTAACGCCCGGGGGCCGGATGCAGCCCTCCAAGGTCATTTACCCGGCCCTCGCTCAAGGTCAACCTAAGTCTGAAAAGATCGGAAAGCACACAACAAAAACAACAACAATCCTATCTCACCTCCCAAAAGCAGGCCCACACTTCCCTGCTATTATAATACTAATAACTTTATATTTGTTAAAATTGTTGTTCATTTTAATTATTTTATTGCACGTGTGTGTGCGTGTGTGTGCGTGTATACACACACCCACACTACAAATAAGATCTGTGCAGTGTGCATAGGAATTCATGGGTTTTTTTTTTCAAATTATAATCCGGCCCTCCAACAGTTTGAGGGACTGTGACCTGGCCCTCTGTTTACAAAGTGTGAGGACCCTTGGTTTAAGCTATATTATAGATTGTACTTGACCCCAGAAAAATTTGGCAAAATTCAAAGGGGGAAAAATTGACGGGAAATGTTGGAAATGTGAGAAACATAAGGGAGACTTTAGTCATATGTGGTGGAGATGCAAACAAGTTAAAAAGTACTGGCATCAAATTTACAAAGAAATAGAAAACATTCTGAATTTAAGATTTGACTTTAAGCCCGAGTATTTTTTTATTAGGGATCACAGATTTTGAGATGAACAAAAACACAAACAAGATTTTTTTTCATCTAATAATTGCAGCCAGAATAACCCTGGCACAACTATGGAAAACACCAAGAGTACCCACTAAAGAAAATTGGATTCTGAAAGTGATGGACATCATGAATATGGACCTTCTCACTCAAAACCTTGCTCAGAACAACACCCGCCACCAGGAAAGAGACTGGGGACAGTTTATGGAATTTCTAAGAAATAAATACAGAGGACTTTATATATAAGGAAAATTAAAAGAAACTTAAAGGATAGAAGGGAAAATAAGAAAACAACGCCATATGAACAAAAAAAAAATGTTTCAGACATATAATTAAAAACTCGGCAACAGAACCTGGAAGCAACTTACAGGGAAAACACTCTTGTTTTACCCTCCCACCCACCCCCCTTTTTTGTATTCTTTCGCTATTTCTTTTCTTTTATCAAGTTTCAAACTTTCTTTCATCTTCCACTGTTCTACCACTTTCATTGTATGTTTTCTAAACATCAGTTTTTACTTTATGTAAAATTTCTTAATAAAAAGCATAATTTTTAAAAAAAGAATGCTCTTTGATTGTAGGTGAACTATACAATACACAACTTTATTACGGTCACTGACCAGCACAAAGTGGGGCACAAGAGGAGGGAAAGCAGTTTAAAATCACAGTTTAAAACACAGGTTATTGTAACAGATATGGAACCGAGGGGGGAAAAGATTGATAGGAGGGGTCAAAACACTGGGGAGGGGGAACTAAAGGGGAAGGGAGGGGCACAATGCAAGTATAGTAGCATTTCAGCTGTAGGTGAACTATAAATCCCAGCAACTACAACTCCCATATGTCAAGGTCTATTTTCCCTAAACTCGTGCCAAGTTTGGTCCAGATTCATCACTGAGTCCACAGTGTCCTCTGGATGTAGGTGAACTACAACTCCAAAACTCATGGTCAGTGTCTACCAAACCCAGTCTTTTCTGTTGGTTATGGGAGTTCTGTGTGCCAAGTTTGGTTCAATTCTATCATTGGTGAGTGGCATTTCCAACAATTACTCTGGCTTTTTTTGTACATTAGGCTATTTTTTAGGGGGGAGATGTACCATTTATGAATAATCTTCAACCAGTTTTCTTTTAAGTCGGACAAGTAGGTATATTTTCAATTTTTGGTCCAAATTTGTTGCCATTCCTGTAATTTTATTTGTCTCCCGGAGCCCCCGGTGGCACAGTGGGTTAAACCCCTGTGCCGGCAGGACTGAAGACCGACAGGTCGCAGGTTCGAATCCGGGGAGAGGCGGATGAGCTCCCTCTATCAGCTCCAGCTCCTCATGCAGGGACATGAGAGAAGCCTCCCACAAGGATGATAAAAACATCAAATCATCCGGGCATCCCCTGGGCAACGTCCTTGCAGACGGCCAATTCTCTCACACCAGAAGCGACTTGCAGGTCATTTGTCTCCCAATATTTTTTGCCCAATTTGTCATACAGTTTTAATTCCTTCCATCTCAATTGCCCATTTTAAAAGTTTGTCATAAATTTTTGTGACATTTTTCTTTTCTGTTTTGATCTGTTGGTCCCAAAATTCCTCCCTATTGTTAAATCCCACTATTTTGTCTTGTTTAAATATGTCCCTTATTTGTAAGTATTGGAGCCATGTTAAGTTCTTATATACTTCGAGTTCGTCTTGTGGTCCTAAATCAAAATTATTATTGCTCTTTATTAGCAATTCTTTATATGTCAGCCAGGTCCTCCATCCCAAAAGTCTCCTTTGTTTTGCTTCTATCGGGGATATCCATAGAGGGGTTTTTATGTAGAAATATCTTTTATATTTATCCCAGACTTTTATAAGTGCAGATCTAATAAAATGATTACCATTTTTTTTTCAATTTTTGTTTTCTCATACCAGATATAGGCGTGCTAGCCCACTCTCAGGCCAAATACTTGTAGTGTCGATATGTTTTCTTTCTTTAGGGTCTTTAACCCACATCAGTGCACACGCTTTGAAATAGCTTTGAAATCAGGCAAGCCGAATCCTCCTCTGGTTTTCTTATCAATCATAATTTTAAATTTTATAATATAATAAAATTATTTTTCTACCCCGCCTCCATCTCCCCAAAGGGACTTGGGGCGGCTTACATGGAGCCATGCCCAGACAACGCACAGTTAAAAACAGAACAACAAAATATAAAACAGCATAAAAACAATATCATAAACAATAAAAGCAAACATTATTCTTAGCTTCTTGCCGTTCCAAATAAATTTTGATATGTCTTTATTCCATTTTCACATTGCATATTATAGGTAAGTTTTAGAAGAGATATAGAAGTTTCGGGAGTGTGTTCATTTTTATTATAGCTATTCTCCCCAGTAATGATAAATTTAAATTTTTCCAATTAATTAGATCTTTTTTATATTTTTCCAAGTCTCTCCATAATTATTTTTGGAGAGTTGAGCATTCTTTGCTGTTAACCAGATTCCTAAATATTTTATTTTTGATCTTATTTGATAGCCAGTCTTATTTTGTAATTCTTCTTGTTTATTTTTGGACATATTTTTGGTTAGTATCACTGTCTTTTTTCTGTTTAATTTGAATCCTGCTACTTTTCCAAACTCTTCCAATTTGTTTAAACAGTTTTGTATGTTTTTGTTGGAGTCTTCTACTATACAGATGATGTCATCGGCATATGCCCTTGTTTTATATTTCTGTTTGACTATTTTCATGCCTTTCACCTCGTGGTAATCTCTTATTGCTTTCAACAGGATCTCCAACGCCATTATAAATATTAACAGGGATAGTGGGAAGCCTTGGCGAGTTCCTTTACTAATTGAATTTTTTTCTGTTAAATGGCTATTTATTTGTATTCTTGCTTTTTGATTAAAGTAAATTACATTTATTGCATTTTAAAATTGAAAGCCTATGTCAATTTCATCTAATATTTTTTTTAAAAAATCCAATTCAAATTATGAAAGGTTTTTTCTGTGTCTAATGAAAGAAGCGCAAGTTCTTTTTGTGTATTTGTGTCATAATATTCGATTGTATCAATGATAGTTCTTAGGTTATCTTTTACACTTCTATTTGGAAGGAAACCTGCCTGCTCATCTCCAATCCAGTCTTTTAAAAAGTTCTTTAATCTATTTGCAAGATATTAGTAACAATTTTATAATCAGGAGGGAAATTGGTCAATGGTTTGTTGATTTTGTTGTAATGTGTGATGTGTTTTTAACTGTATATTATTGTATAACCTGCATTGTGTAAACCGCATTGAGTCGCCTAATTTAGGCTGAAAAATGCGGTATAGAAATAAAGCAAATAAATAAATAAATAAATAGTTCCATACATCTGAAGGGTCAGCCGTATCTTTTTTATCATAACAATTTCTCCCTAATTCCATGCATCGGGTATTTCTTTTGTGTGTAGTATTAGGTTCATTAGTTTTTTGAGAAAGGGTAAGAGTTCGTCTTTCATTGTTTTACAAAAGTCTGCCGTGTATCCGTCCAAAACCGGTGCTTTGCTTGCATTCATCTTATTGATGGCCTCTAGAATCTCGTCTGAAATATCTTTATTTAATAGTTCTCTTTGCTCTTCTGTGATCTTTTGTAATTTTTGGTGTGAGAGAAATTGTACTATTGACTCCTCTGATATTTGATCTTTGGTGTAGAGCTGTTTGTAAAAGTTTTGGAATTCTATCTGTATCTCCTTATCAGTTATTACTGTCTTGTCTCTTTTTTTATTTGTTAGGTTTGTTTCTTTTTTCTCATCCTCCTCGCCAACCATTTCCCTGGCATATTCGTGTTTTCAAAATATTGTTGCTTAACAAATTTGTATTTATTTGATTCTAATGATTCTAATTCTAAATGATGTTTTCTTTTCTTTAAAAGGGACAATTTTTTCACTATCTTTTGATTATGCAGGTCTCTCTTTTCTCTCTCGTTTTCCTCAATCTCTTTCTATGTTCCTTATTTCTCATTTTGTTATTCACAACATTTTGCTGAATGAGATGACCTCTCATAACTGCTTTAAGTGTGTCCCAGACTGTCTGGGGTTTAATCTCTAGAGTGTCATTGGTGTTAAAAAAAGTCCTTTATAAAATTTTGGCTTTTCTTCATGTCATCTTTAGTTTTTAATATGTTTCTGTTTAAGCGCCATTTCCATGAATATTTTCTTGATGGAATGTTATTTATAGAGGACAACAGTCCGAACTGTCTCTGGGGAGTAATTTAGTGTTGTAGATCTTTGTTGCTAATGTGTTTGAAATTCAGATCATGTCAATTCTAGACCATGTCTGGTGGTGGTGGGAATAGTATGTGTAATCTTTCTCTTTTGGATTACAGGTCCCCATGAGTCCTGTAAATCGAATTCCTCTTTAAAATAAAGCTTTTGGGGAGTAAACCATTGTTTTTCTTTTTTGGACTGTCACTTTTATTCACATTTTTGTCCAGAACACCATTGAAATCCCCTAAAATTACTAGATTATCGAATTCAATTTTTTGTATATTTTCTTTCAGATATTCTAAAAATTTGATTTTTGGCCCATTTGGGGTGTAAATATTGCATATTAAGGTTTTCTCCCTTCCCATGGTTATCAATATAGCAACAAAGCAACAACCCTTCCGTTTTGGTCCTTAAATTTAAGTTCCGATGGGATTTCTTCTTTGACATAAATTACTACCCCTCTCTTCTTTGTTTCATATGATGAATAATTTGTTGTTCATTCATTCAGTCGTTTCCTCGTGGACCAGCCCACACCAGAGCTCCCTGTCGGCCATCATCACATCCAGCTCCTTCAAGGTCAATCCAATCACTTCAAGGATGCCATCCATCCATCTTGCCCTTGGTCAGCCCCCCTTCCTTTTTCCTCAGCATCAATGTCTTCTCTAAGCTTTCCTTTCTTCTCATGATGTGGCCAAAGTACTTCATCTTTGCCTCTACTATCCTTCCCTCCAATGAGCAGTCGGGCTTTATTTCCTGAAGTATGGACTGGTTGGATCTTCTGGCGGTCCAAGGTACTTTCAGAACTTTCCTCCAGCACCACAGTTCAAAAGCATCTATCCTCCTTCGCTCAGCCTTCCCTATGGTCCAGCTCTCACATCCGTAGGTGGCTATGGGGAATACCATTGCTTTGACTATGCAGATCTTCGTTGCCAGTGTGATGTCTCTACTCTTCACTATTTTATCAAGATTGGTCATTGCTCTCCTCCCAAGAAATAAGCGTCTCCTGATTTCCTAGCTGCAGTCAGTATCTGCAGTCATCTTTGCACCTAGAAATACAAAGTCTGTCACGGCCTCCACGTTTTCTCCCTCTATTTCCCAGTTGTCAATCATTCTTGTTGCTGTAATCTTGGGTTTTTTCACGTTTAGCTGCAACCCAGCTTTTGCGCTTTCTTCTTTCACCTTGATTAGAAGGCTCCTCAGCTCCTCCTCGCTTTCGGCAAGCAAAGTGGTGATGATGAATAATATTCTTTATCAATCTTTTTATGTATGAGATGCGCCACATGTTTTTGGGAAATATGAGTCCCTTGGAGAGTCACAATTTGATAATTTCTTTAATGATTTGCTGAAATATTATTTTTCTTTTATTGGGAGAATTTAGTCCATTTACATTTCCTGAGTAGCATTTCAATTGTATTGTCGAAGGCTTTCATGGCCAGAATCCATGGGTTGTTGTAGGTTTTTCCGGGCTATATGGCCATGTTCTGGAGGCAATTTTTCTCCTGATGTTTCGCCTGCATCTATGGCAAGCATCCTCAGAGGTAATGAGGACCTCATTACCTCTGAGGATGCTTGCCATAGATGCAGGCGAAACGTCAGGAGAAAGATTGCCTCCAGAACATGGCCATATAGCTCGGAAAAACCTACAACAACCCAGCATTTCAATTGTCGGTCATTCATCTTCCATTCTATTTTCTTCATCCATTTCATCTTCTCCAAGTTCCCCATCATCTAAATCATCAATATTTGCTGTTGCCTGTTCTGATTTATATTTTCATCCTTGGGGAGTGAAAACGGGGTCTTTTCTTCTTTTTACCTTTCCTTGGCAAGAGTTCTGAAAGGATTGAGGCGTCTTCCTTTTTCAAGTCTTTTATAGAATTATTTGGCTTTTTCTTCACTTGTTATCCAGTGTCTTTGTTCTTTTTAGGTTGTCATTATCCCTTCTGTTTTTTCCCATCTGAATCTTATTTTCTTAACTATGACAGATTTTAAAAGACTGCAGGGAATACCCATGAAAACACAATGCACATTCTTTATCATACATGAAAGGTGAAAACTTTATATGCAATACTATGGTGGTTCTGCCCTGGCTCCTGAACATTTAACCAAGTCAATCAGCATTTCAATTCCTCGTAATATGCAATACAGAAATTGTTATACACAAACACACATATACATTTAAAAATACACAATAGTCACCTTTTTGGGCTCTAGATCTTTCTCTGGCCCTTCCTCTGCAGGTGTGGCAATGGCAGTTGTTGCAGCAGCTACAGCAGCCTTCTCTTTCTTATGCTTTTTGTGCTTCTTGTGCTTTTTCTCCTTTTTGTGTTTCTTATCCTTCTTCTTCTTCTTCTTTTTACCCCCACCTTCCTGATCAGAATTCTGTAAAGTCAAACAGTGTTTTGGTGCTTATTTTATTTAAAACATTAGACACTTCTCCATATCATACCTAAAACAAAAGAAAACATCTACACTGCAAAAGCAATACATTTCAAGCCAATAAACTGGCAAAGGCCATATGTTTCTAGAAAAATACAAACAAGGCCCACACAGCTGAAATAAAAGCTGGTTCATCACATAAATACACTAGGGATCAAGTTGTAATAAAGTAGTTGTGGATATAACATTGCCAGACATGTTTACAGCTGCATTAACAAAACTAAACATTTTCGCAGTCAGCTGAAGAGCATGGTTGATTAATTCGAGTGCATAGACTGAAAAGAAGCCTCTAGAACAACGCTGCTCAACTTGGGAGTCTGGACCCTTGGGGGGGGGGTCGCAAGGGGGTTTCAGAGGGATCGCCAAAAAGCATCAGAAAGCATATATTTCTGATGGCCTTAGGAACCCCTTTGGCAAAGAAGACCGAAGATCTCTCCACCTGTCCTTCTCTTCCTTTTGGGAAACAGACAGCGAATCCTCCCATCAAAAGTCTTCCTCCGCTGTGATTAGCCAGCCTCTCAGCTGTTTCTGAGACTCCAAGAGAAGAGGGGAGAGCAGGCGGAGGGGAGAGCAGGCGGAGGGGAGAGCAGGTGTGCTCGGCGCATGGCAGCGTGGTGCACACGTGCGGGAAAGGGAGTGAGTGCAAAGCTGAAGAGAGGCTGGTGCCTGCAAGTCCCTTCAAGGCAGGGGTTCTGTGTGGGAAGTTTGGCCCAATTCTATTGTTGGTTGGGTTCAGAATATTCTTTGATGGTAGGTGAACTATATATCCCAGCAACTACAACTCCCAAATGTCACGGTCTATTTCTCCCAAATTCCACCAGTGTTCATATTTGGGCATATTGAGTATTTGTGCCGGGTTTGGTCCAGATCCAGCATTGTTTGAGTCCACAGTGCTTTCAGGATGTAGGTGAACTACAACTCCAAAACTCAAGGTCAATGCCCACCAAATCCTTCCAGTATTTTCTGTTGGTCATGGGAGTTCTGTGTGTCAATGTCATGGTTGGTGGAATTCAGAGTGCTCTTTCATTGTAAGTTAACTATAAATCCCATCAATTACAACTCCCAAAAGACAAAATCAATCCCCCCAATCCCACCAGTATTCAAATTTGGGCATATTGAATATTTGTGCCAAATTTGGTCCAGTGAGTGGAAGTACATCCTGCATATCAGATATTTACAAGACGATTCATAACAAGAGCAAAATTACAGTTATGAAGTAGCAACAAAAATAATTTTATGGCTGGTGGTCACCACAACATGAGGAACTGTATTAAAGGGTTGCGGCATTAGGAAGGTTGAGAACCACTGCACTGGAAGATACGCACCCTTCCTGGGGATGGACTTGGTGTAGGACTTTTAGCTTTCTTTGCAGCTGCTGGTGGAGACCAGTGAGCAGGTGATCGAGACCGAGCAGGTGATTCGGGTACTGGATGTTTCTTCGGGGGCGGTTCAGGTGATCCTGAAACAGACCTGGATGAAGATCTCCTTCTCACAGAGTGTGGACTTGGTGGGGAAACCCTGAAAGAGAGAGAGTACATTTGCAAGTGAAGTACACAGTATACTTTCTAGGAATGCAGCCACATCATCATCATCATTTTCCTCTCACTTCTCTCCAAAACTGATATGTTCCATTTAAAATTGCCAATACATAATGTTTTCTATGTGTAAGCTTCATTCTAATCTAGGAAGTAAAACAGATTTTTTTCAAGATTTCAAAAACAATCTGCTTCTTATATTTAGTATATCTGTGCAAGCAATCTCTATGAAATTTGATGTCATAATCCATGTCTAAGTTTGTATGTGTGATCTAGAATTATGTAGACTGAAATCCCTTCAGTTTCAGGAAAATGCATCTGTATGATTGTCATGGTGCCTTGAATAGGACTGCAAAGAGGGAATTAAAAAAACATGGGTGTTTCAAAATAATGAACCCAATTTCAAAGCAGCATGTTTCACAATGGCCATATGTTGCCATTACACGAAAAGTTAGTAAGGTTAATAAATTATTGAGTTTTATTAAGCATGTTTGAGCCAGAAATAAATCTTTTTAAAATCACTCCAAAAGCTGGGAGAGGCATCTAGCAGTAATCACTGGAAACCCTATGTCCCATCCTTTCAAGTGGAAATAAATTTTAGTCATGGGCAATTCATGGTTGCAGAGATTTAACAATTTCAAATCAGGCCCATCTTTAAAAAAATAGCTGATTTGTACTCTGAAATCTCACATCCAAAATAAAATGGGCTTGTTACAGAGTTTACACCCAACATTTTCCTTTGGTATACGTCATGACCCATTTGCCTTCATAATATCAAAAGAAGCCTTCTATCCGACACTAAATAACATACTTTTTGGATTTTTTGGGCTCTGGGGTCCTTGAGACTCTCCGGATGGGCCTAGTGCTTGGAGACGGAGACTGTCTTCGCTGGGGTGAAGGTGAAGCTCCTCTGCGTAGCAGAGGGGGGCTTGCAGAGGTACGGGAGGGCCTGGGCTGCGGGGAAGGCGAATGCCGCTTGTTCTGCACTGGGGCATCACGGCTGGACCGGCTGGGAGGAGACCCTTTCCTGTGCTTGGAAGATACCGATGGTGAACGTCTCTTTGCAGGAGGAGAGCCTCTTTGCTTTGGGGGAGGAGAGCGAGAGACTCTGAGCTTCGTTTGTGGAGAAGGAGATGCCCTTCTCTTGAGAGGAGGAGAAGATGTCCTTCTCTTTGGAGGTGGTGAAGGAGAGTATCTTCGCTGTATTGGAGGAGAGTATCGTCTGGGTGTCGGAGAGTGCCGGCGAGGGGGTGGCGATGGAGACCTAAAAAATAACAAGGAAGAGGACAGTTTAGGAGATGCAGTAAAATATTCTCAGAAACAGGTGAAGCAAAAAACAAATGGCACTCAAGTATCACTACAGAAAGAGATCAGGAAGTTTATACATTACAATAAAGCATTGCATGCATTTTCTAAAGTATTTTTGTTCTCTGGAGTATTTTTACACACTGACGTCTCACTATCTTTATCTGCTGGTTGTATTTAGTTTTGTTTTCCTATTTGTAATCCACATTTCGAAATTACTTAAGAACAGACACACATCTCAAGCTCTCAGGATTACCTGGGAAGGAATCCCACTGGAGCATTGCAGCACACACAAATATCTGGGAATCACTCTGGACCATACTCTGACTTATAAGACTATCAAGCAAAAGACTATCAAGCAAAAAGTGGGTGCTAGAAATAACATCATACAAAAGCTGACCGACACAGCCTGGGGATCACAACCAGACACAGCAAAGACATGTTCCCTTATGCTTTGCTGCTCTGCTGCTGAATACACATGCCCAGTGTGGAATACATCTCACCACACCAAAACAGTGAATGTGGTTCTTAATGAGTCACGCCGCAGTATCACTGGATGTTTACACCCCACACCACTGGAGAATTTATACTGTTTAGCCGGTATTGCACTACCTGATATCCATCAGGAAGTATCAGCCTGTAATGAAAGAACCAAGCATTGACATCTCTGGCCCATCATCTGTTCGGATATCAGACAGCACGCCAACACCTTAAATCAAGAAACAGCTTCCGAAGACCTACAGATACTTGCAGGAACACCTCAGCAAGCGAGAATCCAAAAGTGGCAGGCTAACACCCAGAACCTCAATCCATGGCTGATACCGAGTGAGAGACTCCCCCCTGGGCACACACATGGTGCCAGAGCTCATTCTGTTCAGCGCCTTCCAAGTCTGGGTGACTTGGAAGGCGCTGAACAGAATGAGCTCTGGCACCATGAGATGCAAAAATGGGGCCAAAAAGTGGAGTTCACAACAGGCAAATGTGGAGAAGAGTAAACCACAGACCACTTACTATAATGCAGCCTGAGCCTTGCCTAATGCACAATGGAGGACCTCACAGCGACACCAGAGGCACTCTAAGTGGCCAGCTTTTGGTCAAAGGAAATTTAGCATAATGCCAAGTTTTTAACGTTGTTTGTGTTTTAAATACATTTTAACTGTATCTTCAGTTTGCTTCTGAAACAATAAAAAAAATCTCATAATAATGACATTTTTATTCCTTCTTTGATTGGAAAAAGAGGAGTGTGACTATTATGCCATGAATCTCCAAGACAGGTGGAGGTGGAGGACGAATTATCTCACCTCAAAGGAACAGCTCAATTTCTGCTTTGTTTTTTTTAAGCTGCCTTGTCAAGGAGAAAGAAAGATCTCCCCTCCCTTCTTTCTCTGAAGGCAACGCAGTTTACAAAAACTGAAAAGGAGCTCTTTGGAGAAAGGAGGGAAGATCCAAGTTCCAGAGACCTTCATTTCAGTTTTTAAACTGACTTGTCTTTGGACAAAGAAGGAAGGAAGAATTAACTCCAAACAGCTCTGCGACTATTATGAGGAACACAAAAATACCAATTTTCCCACCCCAAAAGTGGGAGTGCAACTATTATATGGTGAAATACAGTGTATAATGTATAAAAACGCAAAGACTGAAACAGCTTCACTAACTAAGCAAATTCCTTTTTTTAAAAGTGCAGTAGTTTCTCTAAATGAATCCTGATGCCTGTATCAAATCTGGCAGGTTCGTTATAGTGTATTTCATGTCAAATAAACATTTAAAGGAAATATGTATTTTATCCAGACAGAAACAGCCTCACCTTCGCCGTGGTGGTGAAGGTGACCTACGCCGCCTTGGAGGAGGAGCAGGAGAAGGAGTACGTCGTCTTCTGGCAGGAAGTGGTGAAGGACTTCGCCTTCTCCGACTGAAGGAAGAACACAAGCAAAAAAAAACCCTTTAAAATAGATCTTGCAACTAAATATCAATAGAAAGTTATGCAGAATTTCTATAGACCAGTGTTTCTCAAACTCTGCTCCTCCGGATGTTTTGGACTTCAGCTCCCACAATTCCAAACAGCTGGGAAGATAGCTGGGAAGCCTGGGAGCTGAAGTCCAAAACACCTGGAGGAGCAGAGTTTGAGAAACACTCCTGTAGACAAAGCTCTGAGTTAGCCTCCAGTTGCTGTTCTTCTTTATTAAAGTTTCTACAAACAAGTATAATGGGATAATATTCTGGCATTACAGTGCTTTTCATGACACCCAATAAACCTGAAAGTCATGTTTGGCTTCTGATTGTATGAAACATGCTTAGATGAATGGAAAAGCTTGTGTGTGTGCTTACATTCACAAATGACTAGCACAGGTATGCATGAATAGACAGTCTTGTAAATATTACGGTATGTAAAATAATAAAGCGGCGGAATTTTAAGAGGCATACAAGCAACGTTTCCTGCAACCTTCAGGTCCTCTTTCATCCAAATGCAAATTATTCAATCACCACCCATTTAGCAAGTACCATATATACTCAAGTATAGGCCTAATTTTTCAGACCTTTTTAAGCCTGAAAAGCCCCCCTTGGCTTATATTCGAGTGAGGGTCCCACACCTCTTTGCACAGCAACCCAGCTGGGTCGTTGTGCCAAGAGGGTAGGAGAGGTTGTTGCGCCTTCCTCTCCTCCTCGTAGTTTCCCACTTTCCCAGCCTCCTTTCCCACCTCAGTCTTTCCCACTTCTCCACTTGCTCCCTACCCACTCCAATTTTTCCACCTTCCCAGTCCCTTTTGCATCCCAGTCATCCTCACTTTGCAATCTTCCTTTCCCCATCCCAATCTTTTCCATGTACCCCTCTTTCCCACCCCAATTTCCCCAGCTTTTCCCACCCACCCCCACTCTAGACTGGGGTCTTTCCCAATTGTCCAGCCCCCTTTCACACCTCAGTCATTCCCCCTTCCCCAGCTGCTCCCTTCCCACCCCAATCTGTCCTACTTTTCCAGATACCCCTTTTTGACCTCGTTTTCCCACCTTTTCAACCACTCCTTCCCATTTCAACCTTTTCATGTTTACAGTCCTTCTTTCCCACTCCCTTCCCCACACCAGTCTTTCTCACTTTACTTATTCATATACACACAGCATTTCCCTCAAAATGTATAGTTAAAATAAACTATGGTGATTATTGGAACGATACGTAAGCGAATTTACATTGAAGGTGGTCAGAATAATGATTCAATCAGAGTTGGACAGTCTTATCTTAAATTACAGTTTTATGTAAATATTCAAAAGCATTTAACTTATTGATGCCTCAATTAATGTAATTTTATTAGTTTCTGTTTTTATTTTGAAATTTAGCAATAGCTGCTGCATTTCCCACCCTCAGCTTATACTCAAGTCAATAGGTTTTTCCAGTTTTTATGGCAAAATTAGGTGCCTCTGCTTATATTCGGGTTGGCTAATACTCAAGTATGTATGGTAATTAGTCCGTTGCCCAAGGCACTGATGCTAACCAACTCACAAATGGTGTGTGCCATTACAACACCAATCTAACACTGCCCTAGCAGCACAACAGTAGCAATCCTTCACCACTGTCACAGATTAGATCTTTAGGTAAAAGGCGAAAGATTTATACGATCTGAAGAGAAACCGGATTAGATGTGAAACAGCCCCAACAGAAGCAGTCAGAAACAAAAATCTGTCTAATGGAACACAGCTTCTAACAATCTCAATAGGCCCATAATTTAATGTCAAATGGGCTTACTCTTTTCATCAAATATCACTCATTTGCAGCAATCTGCGCTATGTCAGAATTTTTGTTCCCCATTATATACATATTTGTGTCTTCTACAAAACGTTCCCAACTAGGCTCCTTTGAATATTCTCTGTAAAACTAAATAAAGTTGTATCATGACAGCTTTGTACAAGATGTTTGTTTCTAATGAAGTTTGCAGATGCCAATCATACAAATACAAAGACAGTGAACCTATTTTACAGACTTTAAAAATCCCTGAATCAGGAAGCCATATTTAAGATCAAGATACATTTCAGAGGCTATGAACTCTGCAGGTTAGAATAATACATTCGAATCATTGCTTTATAACAGTGGTTCCCATTTGACTAGGGGCCACTTGACCAGGGACCACTCTCCAACATTAGTACCAAAACGGTTATGAAATCAGTTTTTAGTCAACTTTGGATTTGGTCTGGTTATTTGGGATGCTGATTCAGAAAACTGCATTAGATAGACCACATTAACTCTAATTTCTGATACAGAACATGTGCCTTCCAGTAGTCGCCATCTGCTCGCACACAGAAAACCATATTTAATAAGCCTCGGCACTATAAGAGGGTTTTGTGAGACCAGTTGCTCTCGTTGCAACGGTGTAGTAACAGTGAGGCCGTGGACCATATTTTAGTTCTTGCGGACCACTTGTGGTCCACGACTATAGGTTGGGAACCACTGCTTTATAACAATCTGATGGCCAAACACATACACACATTATGGTTTTCTTGTTTATTAACTTATTCTTTATCATATTATATTTGTTTTGTAGAGCAAAAACCATTCCCTTCAATTCCTTATGACACCCTTATTGTTTTTTTCTTTGTCACAAAAACCAAAGAGGAGAAACACATGTTGCTACTAAGAGGTTGCAACGTACTTTATCTAAGTTGTTGTAAGGATCAATGTTGTTTGTGCTATACCTTTAACTTACTGTAAGGTTCAAGGCTGTTTGTGCTACAGCTGTTTCAGTTAATTGAAGAGTTAATTGAGAGTATTATTTTCATGTGTATAAAGATAGCTACTGTGTGTTTAGTTTTTGCCATTGTGCCTTAATGCCATTGTGCGTGTTTGCCATTGTGCGTGTTTGCCTCTGTGCCGTTCTGTCGGGGACTATGCTGCAGATGTCCTGTGAAGACACAGCCTTGAGAAGAGGACAAGGATTCCTGCTTATCTCAGCTGAGTGGTGATATCTCTCAGAAGATATTGTTTTATGTTACTTTTGTGGAAACAGTAATCCTGCTACTTTATTTTGTATGCTGCCAATACAACAATATTTTCTTTTCTACTTGAAGTCAACGTCTCATGTATTTTTTCTTTTATGAGCCAATTCATCACACATTGTTAACTGGGCTAGAGTCAATCCGCATGCTTCTCATGCTAGCGCATGACATAGGTTATGGGCCCAGCATAGCGGCATAAGGACTCCAAAGCCCATAACTCTGAGACTTTGGGAGAGTTTTTTGTGTGTGTTTTTTGTGCTTAAATAGAAAAGTAAGCAGCTATGGCTCATCATATGGCAAGCTTACCATTTGAGCGTTTAAATGCTGATAATTACATGGCTTGGAATGTGAAAATGAAGAGTTTTCTCATAAGAGAAGATTTGTGGACTGTGGTTGAAACCCCACCCACAGAAGCTTCGAGTGAAGAGGTAAAAAAGCAAGACCGAATTGCCAGGGCGAGCATTTTTCTCGCTGTTGAGGATGGGCAATTAATTTACTTAAGGGACACTATATCTGCAGCAGACTGTTGGCAGAAGTTAAAGGAAGTTTATCAAACTGAAACTTCTGGCATAAAAATTATTTTGACCCGGCAGCTTTATAATTTGAAGCTAAAAAGGGGTGACAACATAACTGAGCATTTGCAAAAGCTCAGGCATTTGTTGATGGAGTTGGAAAATAGACAAATGGTGTTTACCGAAACACATAAAGCTTTCATTTTGTTATCTTCTTTGGACTCTAGTTGGGACAATTTTGTGTTCAGTATGCAGAGTGTGCCTGAAGCACAATTAACCTTGGATTTGGTTTCTGCAAGGCTTCTTGAGGAAGAAAGAAGAAAGCAGTTTCTTAAAGAAACAAACACCATTTCAGAAAATGCAGCTTGTGAAGGGGTTGGATGCAGAAAGAACCCTGCTGTGTGTAACGTAAGGAGGTGCTTCAGTTGTGGAGATGTGAATCATCTTGTCAAGGCCTGTCCCAAGAAGAAGAAGAAGAAAGAAGAAATGAAGAGGAACCCTGGGTGGCATGACAGAAATGCAAGGGGAAGAAATGCTGATGTAATGACTGTGTTATCAAAGGCTAAGTATGATGAGGCCACATGGTTACTTGACTCTGGGTGTGCAGAGCATTGTGTTAATAATTTAAAATTGTTAAAGGACACTAAAAAGCCAGATATTAATCATGTTACTTTAGCAGATGGATCATTAGCTGAGTGCAAGCTTGTAGGCTCAGCATTTGTTCCTAGTTTAGGAAGATATTTAGATAATGTTATGTTGGTTGAAAAACTTGATTTTTGTTTATTAAGTGCATCAAGTTTGTGTCTGCAAGGATATGACATCAAACTTAATAGTTCTGGGTGTACTGTATGGAAAGAAAATAAGTTATGTGCCAAAGGTAAATTAGTTAACAAAGTATATGTGATGAGTAACAAGGATAGTTCTCCAAATGTTTCCTGTGTAAATAACAAACCTATACATAATGATTGTATTCATTACTTGCATAGAGTTTTTGGTCACGTGAACTTTAATTATCTACAAAAACTATCAAAAGTGACTGATTTAGAGGTAAAGCCATGTCAAAAGTATTTAGACTGTGCTGTGTGTTCTAAAGCAAAAGTAAAGGCACATCCAATACCTAAGAAAAGTTTAAACACAACTACCAGACCATTTGAATTAGTTCACGCTGATTTAGCAGGACCATTTCCTCTTTCACTTGGAAATGCAAAATTTATATTTGTGTTAGTGGATGATTTTTCACGATTTACTTATTGTATTATTTTGAAATCAAAGTTTCAAGCTTTCAGTAAATTCAAAGAGTGGGTAGCCATGGTTGAGAGAAGATTTCCTTTTAAGGTATCATGTTTAAGGACTGATCGTGGTGGAGAATTTATGGGGACACAATTTCAAGACTGGTTAAGAAAGAGAGGAATTAGACACCATAAAACAAACCCATATTCACCTGCTGAGAATGGTGTGGCAGAAAGAAAAATAGGCGTTTTGAAAACTATGAAAGATTGCATGTTAGTAGATGCAAAAATGTCTAATAGGTATTGGGCAGAAGCAATTTCCACTGCTACATATATCTTAAATAGAAGTTGGAGTTCATGTGTAAATAATACTCCATATTATTTGTTGCATAAGAAAAGGCCAGTTCTAAAACATCTTAGAATATTTGGAAGCTATGCTAACGTGCAGGTACCTAGACAAACTAGAACAAAAGGTCAGAAAAAATGGCAGAGACTACGTTTTCTCGGTTACCAGGATGATACCAAGGGGTATCGTTTTATTAAAGACAATAATAAAATTGTGATTTCAAGAAGTGCAAACTTTGAAAAGAATACAGGTTGGGAACATGTTCATCAGAATAGTGAAGTGTTTTTTCATTTAAAGGAACATATGCCATCAAAGATAGATTTAAAATCTGAGTCTGAAAAATACATTGAGGAACAAAGTGAGGATGATATAAAAGAAGAGCCTGAATTAAGTTTACAGGAAGCTGATGCTGAGGAGCAAATTGTAATACCAAGAAGGTCACAAAGATCTAACAAAGGTGTACCTCCAGATAGGTTCGTGATTCAGGGGGTAATGACTTGTCAGCCTGAAATGGAACCTGAAACCTTTCAGGATTTAAATAATTGTAGTCCAGAAGAACAAAGAAATTGGAAAAAGGCAATGGACGATGAATTTGAATCTTTGCTAAATTTAGAAGTGTTTGATATTGTTGATGTTCCCATAGATAAGCCAGTGATTGGGTGCAGATGGGTTTTTAGGAAGAAACTATTACCCGATGGAAGTTGTAAATATAAAGCTAGGCTAGTAGCTCAAGGATTTGCGCAAAAGCAATTCGTAAATTATGATAACACCTTTGCCCCTACAGCAAAAGCTGAATCAATGAGAATTATAATTGCTTTAGCTGAGCAAGAAGGATTTAAGTTAAAACATTTTGATTTTGAAACAGCATATTTAAATGCCACAATTAATGAGGAGATATATATGAGGCAAGCGCATGGATACGAAATTGAAGCAGGAAAGGTTTGTCGGCTTCGGAAAGCATTGTATGGATTGAAACAATCGGCCCGGAGGTGGAACCAGTGTATACATGAAGTATTGGTGAAATTAGGATTTAAACAAAGTGTGGCCGATGCATGTGTTTATACACTAGGTGAAGGCAAAGATAAGATAATTGTGTTAATTTATGTAGATGATCTATGTATAGCCGCACAAACTGACTCTAAAATACAAACTGTATATACGTATTTGTCAAAACATTTTAGGTTAAAAGATTTGGGATGTTTGAAACATTATTTAGGCATCGAAGTAGTCAACAATGAAGGGGTGATATTTCTAAATCAAACAAGGAAAATTTTAGACCTTGTAGCCAAAGCAGGTTTACAAGATGCTAATGCTGTTAAAACTCCTTTAACAGGAGATTTCTTAAGATTGGAAGACACAAGAGAACTAAAAAACACAAAGTTATATCATTCTTTTGTTGGAAGTCTTTTGCACATTGCAAATTGGTCTCGGCCAGATATTGCATATGCAGTGAGTTTACTTAGTAGGAAAGTATCAAAACCAACTATAAGTGACTGGCTAGCATTAAAAAGGTTGATTAGATATTTAAAAGGAACTGCTAATTATTGTTTGTGTTTTTCTAAAGAGGCTGACAAAGAACTGGTAATGTACGCCGACAGTTCTTTTGCTGATGAAAAAGATAGAAAATCTATAAGTGGATACATAGTGCTACATGGAAAATCTCCTATCTGCTGGAGGTCCAGAAAGCAAACAACTGTTGCAGTTTCTACGGCTGAAGCAGAATATGCGGCGTTGTCTCAAGCTGCAAATGAGTTACTTTGGATTAAACAGTTATTTGATGATTTAGGTGTAGAATGTAAATTGCCTATTACTGTGTATGACGATTCTCAAACGTGTATAGCTATGTCAGAAAGCGAAAGTTTAAAAAATACAACAAAATACATAGCTGTGAAGTATCAAAATATAAGAACCTTAATCAAGGAAGGATTTATCAAAATGGTTTATTGTAGGTCTGAAGATAACTTGGCAGATATTTTTACAAAACCTTTAACGGCAGCTAAGCATGGTGAAGCAACCAGAAAGTTAGGCCTAGTAGAATTAAAACAAAATTTGTAAATAATGTAACTTAGATAAAGTGAAGGGGCATGTTGCTACTAAGAGGTTGCAACATACTTTATCTAAGTTGTTGTAAGGATCAATGTTGTTTGTGCTATACCTTTAACTTACTGTAAGGTTCAAGGCTGTTTGTGCTACAGCTGTTTCAGTTAATTGAAGAGTTAATTGAGAGTATTATTTTCATGTGTATAAAGATAGCTACTGTGTGTTTAGTTTTTGCCATTGTGCCTTAATGCCATTGTGCGTGTTTGCCATTGTGCGTGTTTGCCTCTGTGCCGTTCTGTCGGGGACTATGCTGCAGATGTCCTGTGAAGACACAGCCTTGAGAAGAGGACAAGGATTCCTGCTTATCTCAGCTGAGTGGTGATATCTCTCAGAAGATATTGTTTTATGTTACTTTTGTGGAAACAGTAATCCTGCTACTTTATTTTGTATGCTGCCAATACAACAATATTTTCTTTTCTACTTGAAGTCAACGTCTCATGTATTTTTTCTTTTATGAGCCAATTCATCACACATTGTTAACTGGGCTAGAGTCAATCCGCATGCTTCTCATGCTAGCGCATGACAACACAAAGGAGGGTATGCCAACAATAAGCGAATCTCTTCTACAATTGTTTTAAAACGTATTCCTAATTAGCAGAATAGCTAACTGACCTTTTAACAACTGGCGATTGCCATCTCTTTCCCATCTGCATCCTGACAGCAGTAAAAGGGAGGAAAATGACAGGTCAAACATCCCACTGATTAAATTGCAAGGACGAAGCAGTGAGTGGAAAGACAGCAAGTTGCAGCTCTAAGCAATTGAACAATCTCTCTTCTGCTGACCCCAAATAATCTCCTAATGATTGGAATCACCAGAAGCCATTTGAGTGAACGATACAGAGATCAGAAATCTAATAACTACTACAGAAGTGACACAGTTGCAAGGACTCAGCTCTGACTTCATACAGTTTTAAAGCAAAACTAGTTATAACTGTTATAATAAGGCAACCAAGAGGATCAGCCATCACTTGTAAACGCCATTATGTTAGTGCTAAACAAGGGACCTTACCGAGGGGAAGACTCCTTCGGCCACTTTCGAGGAGATGGGGATGGGCTGCGAGAATGCGAATGCCGCCTGCGTCTACCCACTTCACCATTCTTTACATTTGACTTTTTGGGACGTTCCTCTTCAGAGGAAGATGAAGAACCAGAATCTATTTAAAAAATAAAGATGGTGATATTAAAATGCAATGTGAGAGTAACACTTAATGCAATGAAATTACTTGTGATGTTAAGCTTTCAGCAATCCTTTATAAAATAGTCAGTTGTGTCCTAAATTCAGCTTCAAGGAGTTTTCTGTAGTCAAACTCTGTCAATGAATGAACCTCCAAAACAAAAATGCACCAAGCTTCCATAATGACGAATTAAACAATTATGTAACTGTGATTAACAGCACAACAAATCTGTGTTCTGGTTTTAAATATTTATCATCTGTAGGGAAGCACATGAATCCTCCCCTCTCCATTTTGTAAATTAAGACTTATCCACATAGCTTCAAAAAGATAATATAATTATATAATCAGAGTTAAAAGACACCTCATGGTCCAGCTTGTCAACATCTCCCCTCAGAATTAAGACAGTGTGATTCCAACAACAACAAAAATACTTTATTTATATACTGCTCTATCTCCCCAAGGGGACTCAGAGCAGTTTCCAGTAACATCATCAATACATACAAAGTAAACAACATAAACATAAAATTAACAAGACAATATAAGCATAAAAATCATAAAATAATCCTGCCTGTTCAAGGCAATTTAAAAAGGCCGGACCGAGGCTAGTGCAATTTGTAGAGGGCACGGGAAATTGAGTAGTCTATGGCTGTTCATTTCCGGGTCGTAATAGGAAGAAGTAACCTGGGTAATTGGTAGAAAAAGATATGGCCATATTCAACAGTATCTGGGGCTGAGCTAGAACTAGTTGTTCTCAAAGGCCTGTTTAAACCACCAGGTCTTCAGGCTCTTACGAAAGGAGGGGAGGGATGGGACCTGTCTTATTTCTCTAGGAAGGGCATTCCAGAGGTGGGGGGCCACCACTGAAAAAGCTCTATCTCATCCTTTCCAATCATGCTTGTGACGGTGGTGGGAGCGAAAGGAGGGACCCAGAAGTTCATAGAGGGAGATGCGATTGCAAAGATAGGCGGGCCCTGAACTGTTTAGAGCAGGGGTCCTCAAACTTTTTAAACAGAGGGCCAAGTCATAGTCCCTCAAACTGTTGGGAGGGCTGGATTATAATTTGAACAAAAATGAATGAATTCCTATGCACACTGCACATACTGTATTTATAGTGCAAATAACACTTAAAACAATACAATAATTAAAATGAAGAACTATTTTAACAAATATAAACTTATTAGTTGTTCAATGGGAAGTGTAGGCCTGCTTTTGGCTGATGAGATAGGATTGTTGTTGTTGTGTGTTTTCAAATCATTTCAGACTTAGGTTGAGCCTGAGCGAGGGCTGGGTAAAAGACCTTAGAGGGCCGTATCCGGCCCTCGGGCCTTAGTTTGAGGACCCCTGGTTTAGAGCTTAACCTGCACCTTGAATTTGGCTTGGCAGCTTATCGGCAGCCTGTGAATCTGTTTTAAAAGGGGCATTGTTTGCTCCCTATAGTTTGCTCCAGTAAGGAGCCTGGCTGCCCGTCTGTTGTACTAGTTGGAGCTTCCGGGCCATCTTCAAGGCAGCCCCACGTAGAGCACACTGCAATAGTCCAATCTGGATGTAACCAAGGTCTGGACCACGCTGGCCAAGTCAGACTTCCCAAGGTATGATCGTAGCTGGCACACAAGTTTGAGTTGTGCAAAGGCCCTCCTGGCTACCACCAACACCTGAGCATCAAGTGGCAGCGTTGAGTCCAGGAGGACCCCCAAGCTACGGACCTGCGCCCTCAGGGGGAGTGTAACTGCGTCAAGAAGGTTGCCACCCAATACCCCGGTCGGCCTCATGACTGACCAGGAGGACCTCTGTCTTGTCTGGATTAAGCTTCAACCTGTTAGCCCTCATTCAGTCCATCACAGCAGTCAGGCACTGGTCCAGGGTCTGGGAGGCTTCCTTGGAGTTTGGTGGAAGTGAGTAGACTTGGGTGTCATCTGCGTACAGATGGCACCCAACTCCAAAACTAGGGATGACCTCACCCAGTGGTTTCATGTAGATATTAAAAAGCATGGGGGATAGAATGGAACCTTGCGGGACCCCACAGGTCAAAGGCCATGGTCCAAGCAGGTATCCCCCAGCTTCATCAACTGGGAGCGACCCTCCAGGAAGGAGCGGAGCAGCTGCAGAGCAATGCCCCCAAGACCCATTCCAGAGAGCCGCCCCAGAAGGAGGCTCGAAGTGTGTTCTGACCAAGGTAGAATAGAGGGGTAGTATGACTTCCCTGGATCTAGACACTAGACTCCTATTCATGCAGGGCAAAATCCCATTGGCCTTTTTTGCCGCTATGTGACATTGTTGGCTCATGTTTAACTTGTTCAAAAAGATTTTGAAAAACCAGATATTTTAAAAAGTTAATAAATCTATCAACATCTGTTGTGCTTGTACAGAGACAGAATGAGTACCTTTTGTGAGAAATATTAAAAAATAAAAATGTATTTTTAATGACAAAATTCTGAGTCAAGCACTGAAAAAGTTAAATGGATGAAATGACTCAGCAAAAACTGCAGCTCTATATAAGCAGGTGTACCTGCAGCTTAGTAGCAGTTAGTGGGAGAAAGGTCTCAGTCTGAGAGAACGACTCACAATGTGAGGTAGGCCTTAGCCTGTGAGAGAAGCCTTTGTGTGATGTAGGCCTTAGTCTATGAGAAGGCTGAGTGTGAAAAGGACTGATGCAGGAAAGCTTCGGTGATAGAAGCCCCAGTGTGTGTAAAAAGCTACCGTGTGAAGCTCCTGTGTAACTTCAGTGTGAGAGGAGGTTGTGTGAGAGCGAAGCTGTTTTATTTGCATATGAAAGACACCCAGCGTGGTAGCAAAGAAGGAAGTATGAAGGACTTTGTGTTGTGGAAACCTTGTTCTTGTAAATAGTGCAACCATATGATTTTACTACAAAGAAAAGCCTCCTATGGAAGAGATAACATGGGTCTGTGTGTTTTTGTTCTTTTTATCACTTTGGACTACTGATGCTGGGTCACGCTGCTGCTAATAAGTTTCTCTGCTATATATTCATGGGGAGGAACTTTTGTTAATAAGCCCACTTGCTTAACACCTTTCTCTCTTTTTGTTTTTCAAATCATTTGTATTCAAAGAAAACAAAAACAAAAAGCATTCTTACATTAATTCACACAAATTACACTTTTGGTACTTTTAGGGGGGGAAAGACTTAACAAACATAAAATGAACATGGACACACACCTACACAACAAGAAAAATAACAACAGAAAAACATATCTGCAAACCTCTCACTCACTGCACACTGATTTTAATTTCCATTTACTCTATTTGAGGACTTTTCGACTAGGCCAGCACACTGATAGAATCTTGCTCCACTACAATATATTTTAGGACTAAAAGCCCGAAGTTAGTGAAGTGTTATCATTAATTACAGAACACTTTATTTTGTAAAAACATGGAGTAAGACCCAAAAATATATAAACCCAAATTAAACAGTTCTAATAAAGCAATTCAAAGAGGCACTTTTTTTTTTGCTGGTAACTTCCTCGTGAAGCTACAAAGAAGACAATCTTTATTTCCAAACAGAGATACATAGGATCAAGGTGATAACCTATAAGGTACTGTACCAGAGGAAGATTGCTGGTTCTGTCTTCTATATTGTCGTCTTTGCTGCACAGAATCTGCAGCTGCCATTTTACCACCTTTGTCTTCTTCTGAAAAACATAATTTTTTTAAAAAAAATTAAAAGACTATATTTGGAACTTACCCCAAATTAATAGTAAGAAAACAGAATACGTTTCATATTTCTCAAACAACATTTTCAGAAATCAGTTTTTTTTTCTTGTAGAATCCTGAGATGGCTCTAAGGATTTTTATTTTATTGTGCATTTAAGTATGGGCTTTCCTTATAGCTTTAACCTGCTCTTATACTGTTTTATCTGCTAAAAGTAAAAAAAAATATTATGATTATTTCTGTATGAAAGATGAAAAGGTAAGAAACTTACCAGACTCTGACAACTCTACTTTTCTAGGCTTTGGTGCTGGAGAGGGGGACTCCCTTTTTTCAATACTTTTATGTTTGGGAGCTGAAATGAAACACATAAATAAAACTGTAAGGAATAGTGACTAACAGAAATATATAAAAATTATGTTTATAATACAAATTGAATATTGTTTAGCTGAAATGCTTGGGAACAGAATATTTCATATTTTGCATACCTGCAGATACATAATGAGATATCTTAGAGATGGGAGTGAAGTATGAATTAATCTATGCTTCATATACACCTCACTTTGAATTGCATGTTTCAGATTTGCACGCTATTGCTGATGTATGTTGATCTTTGTATCCTGTGTTTTGGTGTATGCTGTTATGGTGGTGTGTTTTGATATACCATATATACTCGAGTATAAGCTGACCCGAATATAAGCCAAGGCATCTAATTTTGCCACAAAAAATGGGAAAACTTGTTGACTCAAGTATACGCCGAAGGTGAGAGATGCAGCAGCTACCGATAAATTTCAAAATAAAAAATAGATACCAATAAAATTATATTAATTGAGGCATCAGTAGATTAAATCTTTTTGAAGATTTACATAAAACTGGAATTCAAGATAAGACTGTCCAATTCTGAAACTATTATTCTAACCTTCTTTAATGTAAATGTGCTTATGTATCCTTCCAATAATAATACAGTAAAATAATAAATGTAATAACAATAATAACAGAGTAAAATGATAAATAACTTTATAAGCCAAGGTAGGCCTTTTCAGCCTTAAAAAAAGGCTGAAAAAATTGGCTTATACTCCAGTATATACAGTATGTATTTCATTGTATGTACTTTAGGTTAACATGTTTTTACTTTGTTACACTAGCATAGCATTGGACTATGCTGTACTCTGTTTCAGGCTGTTATTATATACATGGTGTTTAATAATTTTGTGTATAAAACAACGTTTGTACACATGAAACTATCAGAAAGCAAAGGTTTCACTATATCAGCCACCAGGTGGACAATTTTGGAATACTTGGGATTCTGGTATTCCAAATAACAGACGCTCAATCTGTATTTTCAGTATACTAAAAATATTTACAATGATTATGTAATTAATCCCACCAAGATATTATAAACCTCACTATTCAAATGCATTTCAGCATATTCAGAGTACAAAACCAGAGTCAAATCTCTATTCAACCTATCAACTGTTATTTAGGTCATGGAAGAAACTCAATGGACAACTTGAAAGAATTTGCAATTCACTTCAGTTTACCTGAGGTTCTACTGGGAGAAACTGAGCTTCTGGTTTTTCTTACACGACTTGATTGCTGAGGTGTTGGAGATCGGCGAGGTTTTGGAGGGGGACTGAGTTGTGGGGAGGGTCGATGTCTTCGCCTAGGGGGACTTGCAGAAGGAGACAGTCTACGGGTTTTACGAGGGGGACTAGATACAACTCTCTTAGGTGGCTTCTTTGGTGGAGATCGGGAACGTGAGGAGGATGAAGAGGAACTGCTTCCTGACAAAGATGCGGATGATCGTCTCCTCCTACAACAATCACATACAATAAAAACATGACTTGACACCCTTTACGACTTTGCACCGCTCTATTTTCTCAAACGCACAAAACAAAGGTTCCAAAGAAAGCTCAAGATAACTTTAATTTTCACATTGTGGAAAACAATAGTTTGCCTCATATTTTAAGGCTGCAATCTGCAACTGAAAAAGGTTTCAGGTTCCAAAGCAAGACCGTTTTGGAATTCAATACAACAACTACTGCAAAACACTTTCAAAGTTACAATTCAAGTAAACCCTTAAATATTTCTACCAGGACTACAAAATGGGCAAGTGAACAATAATTGCAAAAACATTACAATGTGTGATAATTGGGTGAGAATGTTATATACACAAAACTAGGAAACCACAAAAATAGCAACAGCAGCAGAACGGATTACAGATCTGGCTGAAATTGATAAATTGGCAATGATGCTACAGGGAAAATCCTAATGGAAAAGGAAAAGGTTTCAAGCTGTTTAGGTCAGGGATAGGGGTTACTCAGCTTTTCAATTGTTGTATATATGCTCAGTAATCCTATTTGACAAACTGCATCTCCTCGTATAGACTAGCTCCAACACTGCGGTCAGCACTGCGGCCACCCTTGTCGCAAGTACAACTGGTAGGAACGAGAGAGAGGGCCTCCGGACTCTGCTCCCGGCTTGACCCTATTATAAGCCGAGGGAGGCTTTATCAGCCCATAAAAAGGTCTGAATAACTCGATTTATCTATGGTACTTCAGATATTTTGTAAAGGATTGGGAGTTCCATCAAGACTTAGACTGCAACCTATAAATGTTTAAGTAGCTAGCACATGGAAAATAAAATGTGAAAATAGCTAATTGGATTACCAGCAACTGATAGTTTAAAAAATCAGAACATTATGAAGAAATTACACACTTTTAGTCTTATTACTATTTAGTTTTCACACTGCAATCCTGATCTCTGTCCATCAAAATTTTAAACATGACTACTTTTGTGATGGCAAACAAGGAAATCATTTCTCGCTTCTTCCCAATCAAAACCATTTTTATGAATCAAACTAACAAAAATTAGCACCTTCATAATATTACTTAATACTTTTAAGTTCAAATACTAGGGATACTAGCTGTCAATGAAGGATTCTTACCGTCTCACAGGAGATCTGCTTCTTCTGTGTCTTGGTGGCGGTGGAATACGCCGTGGTGGGGTTCGCCTCCGAGGAGATGGTCGCCGTCTTGGGCTAGGCCGCCTTCTTGGTGTGTAAGACCTTTCAATGCAATTCAGGAAAAATTAGATAGTAAACAGCTACTTCCTTATTTATAAAATCAAAGCTTTGCTAAATCTGTATGGAAAGAGATTTTTATATCTGTGAGGAAGCCAACATATGATCACATGGAGTTATAAAAAAATCTTGGTACCATGCACTAAAAGGTGCATAATACAGAAAGAGCTGCTTCCCAGAGTGCTTCATAACTACATGCCCGAAAAAGCTTTCAGATTATAAAAGGGCAAAGAGGGACTGCTCAACCTGGATGAAGAAACGCACCCAAATTCACAAGGAAACCGAACTATTCGTCTCCATATAATTATAAAAGAAAATTGGTGACTGAAGCTTCATACAATGTAAAAACTGGTTGTAAACTAAGAAAATCATATTTTAAATTGGGGGGAAAATTATCCTCTGACCTGGATCGTGATCTGTGGCGCCTTCTTGGCCTTGAATGAGATGGAGAGCGAGAGCGAGACTTTGACCTCGACTTGGATCGGGATGGAGATCTTGGACGAGTCTTCTCTTTTTCTTTCTCTCTTTCTTTCTTTGAAATTCTTTCTGGTGATACTTCCTTGGTGTCTGGCATGGGCTCAATTTTTGGGACTTTCAAAATATCACTATTTAAATAAATATTTGAAATTCAACCATGGCCCTTTACTGAAGATGATTTACAGGCTACAGTATGCAAAGATTTACCAAATCACTATTATCGTTACATCTAGGATAGACTATTACAACACACTCTACATGCAGTTGCCTTTGAATATTGTTTGGAAGCTTCAAATAGTCCAATGACAAACAGCCAGATTAATAACTGGAATGGCATAAGGGAGCACACAACTCCCATGTTGAGTCAGCTCTACTGGTTGGCAGTTTGCTACCCAGCACAATTCAAAGTGCTGGATTTGGCTTATAAAGCCCTAAATGGCCCCAGCCCAATCTACCTGTCCGAATGCATCTCCCTCTATGAACCACCGCAAAGGTTAAGATCTTCCGGGGAGGACCTGCTCTCAGTACCACCACCGGCGCAATTGGCAGGGACGAGAGAGAGGTCCTTTTCAGCGACTGCTCCTCAACTATGGAACTTGGCTGTGGGACCAAGCCTTTGGGACAATGCAATAAGGCAGCAATAGAAACCTTTACCCTGCCAACTGGATTTGATATGGATGATTTGGGACAGTTTTAAACAGTTGGCTTTAACGCGAAGATACTGATTTTAGTATTTATGCATGTTTATAGTTTGTTTTTGCACCGGCATTGAATGTTTGCTGTATGTATGTTGTGCTCTGCCCTGAGTCCTCTTCGGGGTAAGAAGTGCGGAATATAATTGTTTTAAATAAATACTAAATCTGTTTCTAGATCACGGTTCATGCCCAAACGTTATCAACTGCTATAGCTGAGCACCATTTTCATTTTCCAGTGTCATCTAACTATTTTCAATATATACTTACATAATGTGAATTAGCCAGAATGATATTATTTCAGTTTGATTTTTTTGGCGTAACAGTAAATCTTTCTGAATCAGGCTCTAAAGTTTCCCACAGTCTTCCCATAGCATTTATGATGCTCCAAGAATAAAATAGCAAGCAACCATGCAAATTACCTAGTAGATGTGGCCTCTTGGATCAATGTTTCTTTTACTTTAATTGAAGGTTCTGGCTCAGGAGTCTCTTCTTTCTTTTCCGGTGGAGGGGTGACACTACGGCTTTTAGCTGTGTGATGTGGGGATCGTGAATGGCTGTGTTTTCTTTCCTTCCTGACAGGGGATGCCCGTCTTCTAGGTGATGGAGTCCTTGATTTACGTCTAGAATAACATTAACCGATGTTAAGCTGATTACTACATTTGAATAAGGCTTTATAACCAATCAAAAGACATTTTACTTTAAGAGTATTCATCCAATGGTTCCTCACCACTTCTAAATGTGAAAGATACCATGGTATTCAACACTAAACACAATGAAACTAAAATTAACATTTAGGGTGCAAGTCATAAAGCATTATCGTCTCAAAGACAAGCTTGATTATACAGTTCTTCTAGAACAGAATTCAGTAACTTCAGAATATGTTCTGTTCATACCTCAGAATACAATACTAATTAGCACAGAAATACATAATACCTTCTAGGACTTCGAGATCGATCCCTCTTTTCCCTATTCTCTTTATCTTCCTTGTCTCTCTTATCCTTGTCTTCATCTTGTTTCTTCATCGAAGCCAATTTTTCCTGTTCAATCTGAAACAAATATTAACATGCCCTTAATTCAGAAATCTAGGTACAGAAATAAATATTAACTTATAATTCTGCTGTTACACTAACTAGAACTTCACTTTCTACAGCATCATGCAACAGTGGTAATGGAAGGCAGGCAAAATCTGCTGTTTCAATAATAATAATAATAATAATAATAATAATAATAATAATAATAATAATAACAACAACTAAATACAACAACTTATTTATAGGCCACTCTATCTCCCCAAGGGAACTCAGGGCTGCTTCGAAATCGGGATCCTCAGCCTTTCAATTCTTGTAGCCACAGTTTGCACTGGTATTATTACATCAGCACAGTGTACCAATAGGATTCTGGTGTGTATTCTTAGCTAGTGGCTACTGTGGCTACTGGAAAATGCATTCCAGGCTTTGGAAATATTTAATGATGATCTTCAAAATGTTGACCATATTTCTAGGAAAATGAGCAGCACAATGGACATCTCCACTGATGTGTTGATTAAAACCTGGAGTAGAGTCACTGTCCCACTGACATGTCACTCAACAACTACCATTGCCACAAACATAAACCAACACTGAATGCTTTTATCATAGAGTAAATGAATACAAGATGCAGTGGGCTGCGTTTCAGAAAAAGAAACTGACAAAACCATTTCTGAGTATTTCTTGCCTAAGAAAACCTGAAATTCATGGTGATCTTGTCCTAAGAGTTTCTTAGTACGATTTACTCAGGAGCTGGCCATTGCCTCCCTCTAAGGGTGAAAGAATACAATCTATCTTTTAGCCGGCTTCCAGAGTTTCCAGAGCCCTAGGGTGGATTTATTATTTATTTACTTATTATTTTGCATATTTGCATCCTGTCCTTCTCACCCTCGGAGGGGGACTCAGGGCGGCTTCACAACAGGCTTTTTCATTCATGCCAACAACAGTAATACATGATGAAAGCAATTAAAACAATTTTAATGCTTTAATATTACCAAAACATTGTTTAAATCATGCAGGTTTGAAATCATAGTCCATGTCATTCCATTGCCATTCACACAAATTGGGTCTCATTCTAAATTGCTGCCTCTACTATTCAAATGCTTGATCCCATAGCCAGGTTTTGAGTTTCATTCTAAAGGATAAGAGAGGGCCAATTTACACTGACCGATACTCTGAGTAAAGAGAGGAGGCTGCCATTTCATGTCCCTGTGCCACCCGAGCCCAGGAAACATGGGATAACAGTGGGGACATTTGTGGCTGGTTCTGTTTTGGAACCGATCCATTGGTTCTCACAGGCCCAAAATCAGGAATAGTTCAAATTCTATCCCAAAATTTGGACTTCCCCCAAATGCGGTGCAAGGTGTCCTTGCCTCATGTTAGCCCAAATTAGCCTCGTTCGGTATCTGGCCAGCAAAGGGCTGATCCAGCTCTACACTGACCAAAGCATTCAAGCCAGACATGGTCCTAATTAAGCATTCAAACCATTACATCATGCCAGAGGCAATTTTTAATTACCGTATATACTCAAGTATAAGCCGACCCGAATATAAGCCGAGGCACCTAATTCTACGACAGGAAACTTGGAAAATGTATTGACTCGAGTATAAGCCGAGGGTGAAAAATGTAGCTGCTACTGAAAATCATCAGTAGGTTAAACGTTTTTGTGTATTTACATAAGACTGTAATTTAAGATAAGACTATCCAACTCTGATGAAACCATTATTCTAATCTTCTTCAATGCCAATGTGCTTACGTAGCCTTCCAATAATAATAGAGTAAAATAATAAATGTAATAATAATACATAGAGTAAAATAAACATCATAAAATAGTACAGTAAAATAATGTAAAGGCAATAATAATAATAATAAATAGAGTAAAATAATAAATGTAATAAAAAATACTAATAACAGAGTAAAATAATAAATAACCTTGACTCAAGTATAAGCCTAGGAGAACATTTTTAGCCTAAAAAGGGGGCTGAAAAACTAGGCTTATACTTGAGTATATACAGTACCTGAATTTTTAAATAAATTTTAGCTCATTCGTTATTTTTCACATATATCCAATCTCCACACACACACACACATTGGGACTCAAGGTAACTTACAAATTTTGCAGGGAGTGGCAGTGAGAAATTTAAAGCATTTACAAAAACATAGGTTAAAAACAAAAGCATGCAACCTCCTTCAAGAAAAGCATCCTAAAGCCTATACTATAGGGAGATACCAGACTTCCCTATATAGGATGAAGTCTTTAGCTCACAACTCCAACTCCACATGAGCTCCAACCCCCATATTAATAAAACAGTTAACAGACCACTCTATAATATGTGTGATAAAGGAGCTTTGTGCTCAAATTTATTTGTAACACATGTTGGCTTTATGCTTAACAGAGTTTATTTAGGTCCCCATCATACCCATCTTTTTACCAGGGAAATTATTCCCAATTAGACCCTCCTAAGCCATTATACAAAATTACACATCAACTTATCAGCTATATGAAAGTGCTACCTGTCTCTGTTTTATCTCTTCTTTCTTCAGTTCCAAAAAAGCAGATGGAATACCAGCAATGTTCTCTTGTGCACTCAATAGCAACGGCCACAGTTCTCCCATAAACTCTCTAGCATTTTTCCCATTCAAAAACCCAGTCAAGTTGATTTGCATCATTTTCGAATCTGGATTCTGCAAAGAGATATGACAGGAAGAGATACCGGTTATTTGAAAAACAAAACCAGGTAAGTCATTTTAATTTTGCCTCAATCTTCTACCATGGGGCTAGAGTATGCTATGCTCACTAACAGTTTTTAAAACTTGCCCTAAAGGTTGCTCAATAATATAGTTCCAAGAGATACCATATTTCTTTTGCTATACCATTACGTTTGAAGTGGCCTGTTAATCCTTTGTGGATTTCATAAATATTTTGGTCTGTGCAGCCATTACAACTGAGGCTATAAATTTGGTGCTGCGACATCACAATGGTTTGTGTTAAGTGTGTCTTTGTAATTAACGTTCTAAGCATTCTTCCCCAATATTCTTTGGTGCTGATGCTTAAATTCTTTTTTTTTTAATGGTCAAAAGCTGTACAGGTAACATTAAAAGAATCATCACATAAAATACACTCAATGTCCTGCTATGAAAACTGAACAAGAATTTATGCATGCATTGTCTTACTTTCTCCAGAAAACAATTCTAAGACCTCATCAACTAGCTTACAAAATAAAAGCTGCTCTATTATTTAAATGAGAATTATGTAATGCCCACAAAGGATTAAGAGGTCAAGAGTGGCTCACAGTACAGGTGGACATATTCGTTCTAACATTGTTGGTCAAAGCAACAAGGTCCATATAACAAGCACAGCTCAACAGCACAAAGCAAGTACAGATTCCAGGTGTCTTCTGTTTCTTCTTGGAACTTGGGAGGGGTTTGGAATCGCCAAGTCCCCTGTAGAGAAAGATGTTCCCTTGGCTTGCTTCCGACTCCCTACTGCAACTCAACCACCTTGAGTTTAATGTTATACCATTTATCTAAATTGCAAAAGACGAACAAGCAATAATGAGTACACAACCACAAAAAGGAAAAATTGTTTTAAAAGTTCTACGTTAAAATCATGCTTTCTATGAAAGGGATCAAAACTGAATATTTAGGTTGCATTACAATAATATATACTAGCAAATTACTACTTAATATGAATTCTTACTTAACTTAGTTGATCCCTTAACATCTTTTGGCCCAGTTGAATTTTCTGCACAGGTATAGAAAACATTGCAAATATGGATGTTTTAAACATAATCTCACATTCGAATATACAATGACTTTTTTGTTCCTTCCAAGAGCAATACATTTCTCAGTTGAAATGTCAACTGTTCAGTCAAATGATACAAGATGAATTATTTGGAAGAAAGAGTATAAAGTACGTATATTAGCACAAGAGCATTTTGTCAATAGCTAAAGAGAAAAGACTACGGCCTCGGGATGCAGCGGCAGACTAAGAAGAATAAAAGACAGAGTTTTTCATGAACTCTATCTCATTTATGTAGTTCATGATATATAACTTGGAACTACATCAGTGGGACAATTCAGGTCCACTACGATCAGACAGGCATCTTACCTCTGACTTAAGTGGGAGGTTTCTTGTACCTCTAAGCTTTCTTTCTATATTGCCCTACAGTATCATCCCTCCCCACCTTGGCTGAAAACATCCATAGATCTAAAAACAGTAAGTATCTACTAAATGTCTCTTACCAATTTAGAACTGCCCCTCATGCTTTACAGTTAATCTGATTTAATTCACAACAATTTAAAGAGCAGTGTAAAGGTTTGCCCAATTGCTTTTCTGCTGGATGCTTTTGTCTTTTTTTCCGGTCACTTTACACAACTCACCTCCAAACACACACTGCATCATCAAGGGAGTTGGTCAGAGCGACATTGGACACTCACTCTGCTGTGACCTAATAAGGTGATGGTGCTATACTTCAGACGCAAGGAATAACTTCCATTTTGGTTCAGGCCTTTTAAATCATAAATCACATCATCATTAGAAAATTGCTGTCAAAGTAGCTTAACATGTAACAGCAAAATCAACACAGCAAGTCTTGATTTTTCACCTGAGCAGTTCTGCAAATTACGTACCTTCACTAAAACTGTCAACCTTAACAAAATGTTTTACAAAGTGATTTTTTCTCAATACATTCTGTAACAAAACCCTCCTAATTTCATCCATTGTTTTTGACAGAGTGTCACTTTCCACAGGATTACATAATACATTTATAAATATATAAATATAGCCACAGTAAAATCATTACCTTCACTTCCAGCTGGTTGAATATAAATTCAATTACCACATCATCTTCAAATCCAAGGATTTCTGTTACTCTTTTTGTTATCCATGGCTTGATTACTTCGAGGTTTACTTTGCTCATGTCCACCTGTATTGTCAGACAAAAACATCAGGAATTATATATATTCAAATCTCTTTTGTTCAGTTACTGTACATCTGTATGAGAACCATGCATAAACAGCACTGTTCCTTGCAAGTAGAAGCAAGTCACAATGTTGTCACTAAGTCACAACATTTTTATCCCTCTAAAGCAGGCATGCACAACTTGACAGTAGAAAGGAGCTGAAATTAAATAGGTTAAACCCCTTTGGGCCGCAGATGGGTTTTTAGCGCCTCACTCGGGGTTTATGAAAGGACATCTCAGAGCAAGTAGCAAAGCTGAATAGTCTCAACTTCCCTTCCTCACCCTCATGGCAGGTTGCAATCGCCTTATGACGAAAAGGAGTGCCTCAGTTCTTGCCTCCACTGCCCTTCCTTTCTTGTTGCCTCTGTGGCTTCCTCTTCCAGAGGGGAAAAAAACACTAACTCTGCACTGTTCATTTCCCATGCTTGTATGGGAGAAACTTAGCTTTGCCATGAAGATCCCACAATAACTTCATGGTGATTCTAAATTTCTCCATCATAACTGAGGGAAATGGACGACATGCAGTTGAGAGTTTTGCCACTGGACGAGAAGATGACATAGGCAAAGAAAAAGAAAGAGGTGAAAACTAAGGCACTTCTTCTTTAGCACCTCCCTCTCCCTCTAAAACAGCTGACCTAATGTTAAATTTTAACATAATCCGGAGCCCAAGATTCTACTCCCCCACCTTGCCGAAAAACGCCCGATACCCCTTAAAATTTCATCACCGTTCCCCACTACTCTAACCTGAGCCCAACAGTCTGCCCAGGTCATATTTCCAATCGAGACCAGCACTTCCAATGTCCTCATCAGTGGCGTCCACTTTGCCACAAATTGTTCGGAAACTTTAGTGTATGGAGAAAGATTTTACCACGTAGAGGTAAAATGTTTGGAGGGAATGACAGTTTCCAACTGCTACTCTGCTGTTGTGCTGCATGTGACCTCCTTCTCTAAGGCTTAGACTCAGAGCACTGCAGGCCACACCAAAGACTTCTGAGGGCTGCATCCGGCCCCCGGATCACATGTTGTCCAGGCCTGTTCTAAACTGACACTCTAGCACTGCTATGGATTACCTATGTAAATTTATTTATTTTATTTACTGTATTTTTACCCCCCTCTATCTCAACCCCGAAGAGGACTCAGATCGGCTTGAAATTGGCAATAATTCAATGCCACATTAACATATGACAAACAAAATACAATATACATTGTGCATTAAATCGTGAAAAAATAAAAAACACTAACATGTAACTACATAAATAAGCTGTGGAAACATTACACACAGACCAAAAGTCATAATCCACAAGTCAAGAAACATTGTCAAGTAATATTTTCCTGAGAAATTATGCCTGAAATAGTTTCCTCTAAAATTAATTTGTCATTATTTTATGCCCATGAATGTTTTCTGGGTTTTGTTTTTGCCTTGACTGAATTAAATATGAATGAATCTCCCTATAGTATAGGCTTTAGGATGCTTTTCTTGAAGGAGGTTGCATGCTTTTGTTTTTAACCTATGTTTTTGTAAATGCTTTAAATTTCTCACTGCCACTCCCTGCAAAATTTGTAAGTTACCTTGAGTCCCAATGTGTGTGTGTGTGTGTGTGTGTGGAGATTGGATATACGTGAATGAATTAAACTATTTCTTTATTTATACCCTGCCAACTCAAGTTTGCACCAGTATTGCAAACCAACACTTGTACTAATCACAGTTTAAAGAAACACTTTAAAGCTAGGCTGTTTATCTATAATCCTAATCCCAAATTAGTGAATTCAAAATCCTAACATCTATATCAAGAGAAGGTGAAATGCACAATTATGGCTGGATGTGACACCCCCTACTAACACCCCCCCCCAAAAAATATGGTTTTTAATCACTTTTAGGTCATAATCACTACATATTGTAGATGTAAAAAAGAACATCAATTTGTAAGTTTTCAAAACTAGAGTCTTCTGGTTAATTCCAGGTTTGTTAGTGGTGGACTTTTTTTCTTTACATTTTTGGGAGCTTATATGGCCCCAAGGGTCCTGGAGCAGGAAAATTAAATTTGTCATATTGCAATTTCCCATTCAAAATATTTTTCTAAAATCTGTTTGAATAACAAAACGTTAAAAATTGAACATACCTTCTTTTCTAGGCATTCTGCAAATTTTAGTTGCTTTAGTAGCTTCTTCTGTTTGTTGCTGAAGCGGTTGTCCTGTTCTGCGCTTGTCCCCTATAAAGACAAAAACATCAAATTTATTTAATTTTAATAAACATTAAACTTTCCCGTAATACAGACATCCAAGAGGTAATTAGGTCAAAAACAGTCTATAGAATACTTTGAAAACACACATTTCTAGACAAATGTATGCTGAAGACACCTGAAAGGGACAGCAGCCTCCGCACAATAAAAGTTAAATATGACCCCACATCTTGACACAACTCAATCATCTTGAACTTTATACTGCATTTAATAATACCTAAGTATGAGATTTCAAATGCTATATGAACACATCTAAAACGTTTATCATTCTATGATGTTATTTTAATGTGTAAGACTAAAGAAATAGCCTATACTTCTGCAAAATAAGATAAAGCAACTACATTACAGAATCTGGTAATAAATCATTTGGAAAGCTGCATATACTATTGCAGAGCAAATATGCTTACAATGCCTGTAAATGTGAATGTGTAAATTCAAAGTATATGCACTAAAATTAAGTTCTTTACTTGCTGGATTTGGGATAGCCAAACACGTGGATATCAGTGATGCCATTTTAAAGTTGAAACCATGGACTTGTTTGATATGCTTTAATAATTAATGTTTAATGGAAAATACTTTCATAACAAACTTGCTACTTGTTCCATGGTTAATTTTTATAGAAATATAGGCAGTTACTTCATAAGAACAGGGGTGAGACAACAGGAAGTGATAGAAATCTACCCCTCAGAAGGGAATTTCACTCCTGAAAAAGTTATTGTGGGAGGAAAGTTGTCTCCACTGAATCCTTGTTTCCACAAAAGCCAATGTTTTCAAAATCCAATTATCAAAGGGACAGAAAGTGAGGTGAAATCTTCTCAACTGGGGCACAGACAACAAAGGAAACACCGTAAGGGTGTTAACACTTTCCTATGCTTTCCAAAACTTACAGTATATTTTTTTGGCTGGAGTTACACTTAAATGCTCTGACTTACATACAAATTCAACTTAAGAACAAGCCTACAGAACCTATCTTGTTAGTAAATTGGGGACTTGCCTGTACACTTAAGAATCGAGAAATATCACAAATCTGCCAAACTATCTGCCCCTCCCCCAAATCTAGTAGCGACTACATACAATAAAGTATGCAAATTACAAGCTTTTGGATTATTTATGAAAAAAATTACTACTGCTTTTTAACTTCCAAATGTAATTCATTACAGGCTATCTCTTTACATGGAGGGCACAAAAAAAAGCAAAACAAAAATCTTTTTCTAAGCAAGTGTGATCTCCAACGTCCAAATGAACTCTTTATCAAATGAAACATTAATCATTTTCTCAACACTAACTGCCTGAAACACATTTATCCTATTAGTCACCTCAATATAGTACTCTGAACTTCTAATAAGCAATCTAGATTCATCACCAACACTAAAATTGTAAACTTTGTACAGTAAACTTTTGGTGTTCACGGGGGTTTGCTTCCACAATTCCCTGAAGATACCAAAATCTGTGGACATTTAAGTTCAATCACATGTGGAGTAGTAAAATAGCAAAATCAACATTGGCATTTTGGAATTAAAAAAATATTTTCATGCCTCGGGTGGTTGTATCCATGGGTGCAGAGGGCCAACTGTATGATCAATAACATTGTTGGCTGTGTAATGACCACATCCAGGAGGCCTTTTTTTTAATGAAATGAAGACAAACAATGAGACTAGCACTCAGCTTATTCATCGGGGTAAATACAGTGGCACACCTACTATACTGCTCAAGAAGTGAACTGGCACAGGTTGACTTAACAGGTTGCGAGGAGCTAGATTTCCGAACATCTACCATGAAATCAATTACACAGAGGAATGCTGTCTGAAATGGTGCCAGGTACCACTATAGTCCTGTAAGGTTCTTATTTAGGGGAGAAAACAGTTAATCATCCCTACATACTAAACATGCATGCCCATCACTGGTTAAGATTCAGCTGGAAATGCAAAACCTGTCAAAACTGCTTTTGATTTGTTTCCTTTTGAACAAAACAAAAGGAATTTCCTTTTGGTTCTGAGAATCATAGAGTTGGAAGAGACCTCGTGGGCCATCCAATCCAAACCCATTCTGCCAAGAAGCAGGAAAATCGCATCCAAAGCACCCTTGGCAGGTGGCCATCCAGCCTGTTTAAAAGCCTCCAAAGACGGAGCCTCCATCATCCTCCAGGATAGCAGGTTCCACTGCTGAACAGCTCTCATAGTTAGAAAATTCTTCCTAATGTTCAGGTAGAATCTCCTTTCCTGGCGTTTGAAGCCATTGTTCCATTGTGTCCTAGTCTCCAGGGCAGCAGAAAACAATCTTGCTCCCTCCTCCCTATGACTTCCCCTCACATCTTTATACATGGTCCTCATTATGTTTCCTCTCAGCCTTCTCTTCTTCAGGCTAAACATACCCAGCTCTTTAAGATGCTCCTCAGAGGGCTTGTTCTCCAGACCCCTGATCATTTGAGCCCCCTCCTCTGGACACATTCCAGCTTAGAGTCAACATTTCCCTTCAATTGTGGTGCCCAGAACAGAACATGGTGTGATTCCATGTGTAGTCTGCCCAAGGCAGAATAGAGAGGTAGCTTGACTTGCCTGGATCTAGACACTATACTCCTATTGATGCAGGCCACAATCCCATTGGCTTTTAAGCCTGTTGCATTACATGGAAAATACACGAACAAGCAAATAAGCAGTAAGAGAAACTGCACCTTATTGCTTATGTGGAAG